ATATAATATTTTGTACTAATTTTTTAGATGATATACACTTATAATTTTGATGTAATTTATAATTACATACATATATATATATATACAGTATCATCGATTGATTTAGTGTTCAACTAATTTATTATAATATAATTTATATACATTACAAGTGTGAGCCAAGTTTTTTCTTAATAAATATAATATATATAAACAGCATAATTAAAAAAAACTTATTGATTAATTATATTAATATTGTTAATAAAAACGATAATATTTATAATAATAATATTGATGTCCAGGAAGTGTTTTTGAACTTAACTTATAATTTTTTTTAATAAATTTATATAAGTAATTAACTAAATATATAATAATAATAATAATAATTTGTATAAAAAGTTATATACGTATTATACCGTACTGTAAATATATTAAATTTTTAAGTTATAAATTACAATAATATTTTCTATGTTTTTATTAAATTATTATTATTATTATTATTATTATATATATATAACTTATATATATATTTATATATTGTATACAAAATTCTAGGCATTTGTTTCAATATTAAGCTAAATTAAATAATAGAAATAATAATAATAATAATAATAATAATAATAATAATAATAATAATAATAATAGAAAAAATATAGATTTATAAAAAATAATAAATCAATTAAATTAAGAGTGATTTTTATTATTATTTTATTTTTTACTGTATTTATATATTCATCTGAAATATCATATAAACTCTGATGTCCTGTTATTTTTCTGATACATTTATTTTATTTTTTAAATATATGATATGATATGTATATTATTTGACATTTTATAAACACTATTACATTCATGTTGTTATATGACATGTTTTAATTGAAATACTGGTTGAAAAAAATATATATATATATATTTGACATGTTAATAATATATTTTTTAAATATAAATTAAATGATTAAATTTATTTATTTTTTTAGTTTTGCTAAAATTTTTTGTTAATTTTTTGTTATTTAATAAATTTGTTGTTACATTAGATGTTATGACCTAAAAAAAATTAGATGAAATTCAAGAATTTATATTATTATTATTATTATTTTAGTTTTGTGTTTGCATTTAATATATTTTTAATATAATAATAATAATAATAAATGGCTCTCATATGACAATCAATTTATAATTAATTGATATAACAAAAATTTTTTTAGTTTTGATAAATAAATTATATTAATATATACTACAAGTGAATAAATTTAGATTTATTAGGGGTTTAATTCAATAGGGGTTTATAAATAGTGTTGTTGTTGTGTAAAATTTTTTAGACAAAATCCGTGTTATTAAACTATATATATATATATATATATATATATATATACTGTTTATATACTAAATATATATATATATATTGCCAGTGATTTATTGATGTATATAACAGTAGTTTAAAACTAATAAATTTTAATTTATATCAAATATAAAGTATTTGTGAGAAATTCAGGGATAATATATCTCTCACTCACACAAACTCTAGGAAAGGGTTGAATGAATAGTTAACGGTTTTCCGAGGATTAAGAGAGAGAGAGAGAGAGAGAGAGAGAGAGATAAAAATTGCAAAAGAGTTGGCAAACAGTACTCTCTATTTGTGTGATAATGTCTGTCACTTAACATTAATATAACACAACATATCATATATAATATTATACACACAATATATTACAGGTCAACGACTTGTTAAGCATTTTTGTTGGTATATATCTATGAAAGAGAGAGAGAGAGAGAGAGAGAGAGAGAGAGAGAGAGAGAGAGAGAGAGAGAGAGAGCTATGCATTACAGTTCAATATTAGTAATAATAGTAATAATAATAATAACAAAATTGATAAATCATTTTAAATTGAATTTTATTGTTTATTTTATAATTTATAAAAAAAAACTATATTTTTGTATAAATGATATATACATATAATATTCAATAACATAATACCAGTATTAAGTAATATTATTGTACACACCGTTAACTATTTTCTTGTAAAAAATAAAAATATTAATATTACTGAGAATCTGCTAACTGGTAGACACTGGCACCGGTAGCTATGATTTAATTGTTTTTTATTGTCCATATTTTATTTTTAAAACAAAATAAAAACATACACATTTGGTTCAAGATAAAACACGTTGATTTTTATAATTAACATAAAATAATATTTATTTATTTAGATATATATAAATATGTTAAATATATATATTTTTTTTTGTTGTCAATTTAACCATCATGTTTTTTTGTTTTGTGGAGTGGTGATAGCTACCGGTGCAAATAAATATTATTATTAATTCAATAGTTACCAGTTTTATGGATATAATCATATTATTTATTTATTTTTTTAAAATTATAGTATATTATAATTTAATTTTATAGCGAAATAATAAATACTAAATCTTATATACAAATATATACAGTATATTATATATACTAATAATAAAAATAAATAATTTCAAGAATATTCTAATGAAGTTATATTTAGTTTTATAATTAAATATTAAAATCTCTAATATTATTACAATTTGTTAGAAAATATTATATATAATTTAAATACAATAAATTTTTAATTTTAATTTTAAATAAATATTTGAAAATATTATTATTATTTGTTGTTGTTGTTGTTGTCAACAACAATAATAAATTAATTCAACATATTATGCAATATAGTAGAGTATTTATTTAAACAATTGCATAATAATTTTCTTTTTAAATTGGTATTTAATTAGCCTAAAAAAATTACATAATATTTTCTACAACAACCAAAAAAATGCTAACTATTTACAAATTAACAAAAAAAAACATAAATTATTATTATATAACATACAATACCCCTCTCCCCCTCCCAAAAAAATAATATGACACTAAATATATAATTTATATAATTATATAATATATATATATATATATATATACTTAAAATACGATTCTAATGTACAATATTACTGAAAAAATATTATTTTTTTTTGTTTAATTACTTTTTTGTTTCAACAAAAATCCAATAACCTAGCAGCATTTTTTTAAAAAAATAATAATTTGTTGTTGTTGTTGCTTAAAGCTATAACATTTATCAATGTTAACAATTTTTGTTAAAAAATAATTTTTTTTTTGTTATACTGTATATATTATATTACATATTCTGTTTAATAATTATCAATAGTAACACACAAAAAAAATATTACATTGTTATTATTAGTTAGTATTTTTTTTTGTTAGAAAAAATGGTAATTTACTTTGTGTGTGAAAAATTTACAACTAATTAGTTTTAAACAAAAAAAATAATAATAAATTAACCAAGATAATATTCGAGTCAATTATCTATATATAATAGTATTACAGTAGTATATAAGTATAACTAAACTTAACTATAGTGTGTATATTTATGTTTTTTTTAAAATAAGGGTTTATAATAAACATGTATTTACTGTGTGTGTGTGTGTGTGTGTGTGTGTGTGTGTGTGTGTGTGTGTGTGTGTGTGTGTGTGTGTGTGTGTGTGTGTGTGTGTGTGTGTGTGTGTGTGTGTGTGTGTGTGTGTGTGTGTGTGTGTGTGTGTGTGTGTGTGTGTAGTCAGTCGGGTTAATAAATTGCTAATATATTAAATATACAGTATATTATATACAGTATTATAGAGAGATCTCTCAACTTGTTTTCCTTGAGCTAAAAAAATAGCACTAATTATTGCTGAATATATATATATATATTTATACACACAGTCACAAACACACACACACACACACACACACACACACACACACACACACACACACACACACACATACATACATACATACATACATACATACATACATACATACATACATACATACATACATACATACATACATACATACATACATACATACATACATACATACATACATACATACATACATACATACATACATACATACATACATACATACATACATACATACATACATACATACATACATACATACATACATACATACATACATACATACATACATACATACATACATACATACATACATACATACATACATACATACATACATACATACATATACACACAACCCTATAACAGAATAATCAAACAAAACACATACAAAAAAAAATCACGGATTTTAAGCAAACAAACCAATAATTAGTTTTTTCTCTCATTATATAACACACACACACACAGAAAAAACACATTTATTTTTATGTCATAATTTGGGATTTAATTAATAATGAATTTTTGTTGTTGTTGGTGCTGTTGTTGTTGTTGTTGAAGTATTTATCATATCCTCTAAAAAAAATCTATGGCTTAATATAATAGAATTTTTTAATTAAAAAATAAAATTAATAAATTATTGTAAATAAAAATGTAAATAATATTATAATCAATAATTTTTTTTTGTTGGTGAATACTTTTACTTTTTTTTTTAATTTAATAAAATTAATTCAAAATGCAAATTTGTATGGCAATTTTACACAATTATTATTAGTATTAAATATAAATATATGATTTTTTTTAAATATATATATATATACATATAATTTTTTATTATTAATTAAATTATAATGACAATAATGAGTATGATTTTTTATTAATGTTTTATGTGTGTGTGTGTGTGTTTAAAATTGTGTATTTTTATTTTATTTTAGATAATTTTAATTTAAATAAAATATATATTTGTTGTGTTTTTCAAAGGGGATAGGATTCACGCCCTTCAATATAAATATATATTTATAGAATTTTTATATATAAATTATAATTATTTTATTTTTTAAAATTATAAACAGTATTAACTGCTATTTGTCTGCTGTAATATAATTTAATATATATATATATAAATTGGTTATAAATCTTATATATATATATATATATATATTGTATATATAATTTAAATTTAAAATAAAATTATACACTTTTTGTTTGTTTATTTCAATGAATCAATCAATCAGTCAATCAATTCAGTAAAATCTCTGAAAATCATTATTACTTATATTATATATATATTTAATATAGAAATATATATAATTAAAAAACTTTTAAAATCTAATGTAGTAATGAACCAATGATTTCGTGATGAATAAGTGATTTAAATGGTAAATATATGTCTCTTTGTCTTCATCTTCTTCTTCTTCTTCTACTACTTCTCTGTTTAATTACTCTGTTTCTGACAGTCATCTCTCAGTGCATTGATTTTGCTGCATATCTTCAGCGCCGGACCCAACTTCATGTTCATTGTGTTCATCAAGTGGTCCTCTTTGATCAACATCAAGGCCTGGCCATCAATTTCTTGCGATCGAAAATCGTCAGCGTATTCAGTACAGCCCTGAAGATTGCGTACAAAATCGTAGACATCGCTGACCTGTTTTTTTGATAGAAAATACAAAATTTCATTGAATATTCAAATAGACGGTAATTATTCAATAATAATAATTATAAAAAACCAAAACATACACTCCATTGAAGCGGATTTCTACCGCCGGGAGGTATATATAGTCCGGCAATAGCACTGTTCTCTTCGGGCGCTACAATGTTAACACTCGGTGCCGGTTGCGGCGGCAGCTGTGGTGGTATCACATTCGGCAGAAGATGCGGTTCTGTTACGACCATCGGCAGATTCTTGCAATGATTGTTCGCATCGTTTATATCACCGTTTTTGGTCAGTTTCTGTAATACAATCATACAATTCATTAGTTTTTTACCGAATAATTATAATTAAAAAAATCATTTGATAAAACACTGACCAAATCGTTGGCACTTTCTATCGATGACGACTTCTTCGACGATACTTTTGTTTTCTTTCTTTCATCGCCGGTATGCCTTTCGGTGGTGTTGTTGTTGTTGTTATCGTTTGTTGACATCAAATCGTCGTTCAGCTTTTGAGTATCATTATTGTTATCATTGAGTCGGGCGGTCACCGAGTTATATAACGACAACCGCTGAGTGTTAGCCGTTGGCGTTGTTGTCAACGAAGTCTTGTCGTTGAATGTATCGGAACAGTGATGACTACAAAATCGTTTAGGCATTCGGCCGTTCTTTGAACTCGACTTGCGTTTGCCGCCACAGTTAAGACATATATGTTTGTCCGGTTTGGTCCGATTGTTCGCGAGTACCGCCGATGGCGGCGACGGTGTGGTATGCAAAGAGTTTTCATTGGAATTTCTCAATAGTTTTGTGTTTTCAATGGTCGGAATAATACCATTGGTGATACGGTCATCGGCGGCGCCGCCTCCGCTGCCAAACTCATTGTTGTATTGTGACAGACCATTAACTGGAAACGGATTGGCACTCTCCTGTATAACATAACCGTCGATGACGTGCGTCAATATCTGTGGCTTAACGATAGCCTTTTGGGGCGGTTGTCTTTCCAGACGATTCAGATCCGACAACACACTGTTTTGTAGGCCATTTGTCTGATTACTGCCTAACAATGTGTTGTTGTTTGCCATAATGTTGGCCACCGATTGTGTCATCGACATGTGCACCGATTTATGGTTGTTGTGCTGCGAATATAGCATCTCATTCTCCTCACCGGTCGATGCGTCTCTCTTTTCGACCACTCGTTTCGTTACTAATTTTATTTCGTGACTAACATCGGCAGCATTCGTACTGCTATTGTTGTTCTTCGTATGATTCATATCAGTACCCGTGGAGCTAGTGGTGGTACTCTTAACGCCAATATGTTTGTTCAAATTGTTATTGTTGTTGATGGTGTTGGTGGTGGTATTAGTAGTAGTACTACTGCTACTACTACTACTGTTGTTGTTGTGGTTATCACTAATAAAACGATTGTTTGACATTTGTGATTGTGAATTGGTTTTCGGTGGTGTCTCAGTGGCCACCGATACTCTGGTTGTCTGATTGCCGGCATCGGCTTTAGTTGATGGCGTAGTAGCCGCCACCACGGCTGTCGCTATTGTCGACTGGTTTATTGTTGTTTGAGTGGCACCGACACCTGTCGAACGTGTGGTAGTGGTGGTTGCAACCGACGACTCTTTATTCACAGTTTTACTACTTTGAGACACTGGCTGTTGTTGTTGTTGTGGACTGGGTTTGGGTTTTGCCGGTGCTATTGCTTTCAATGGTGTCGTCGACGATGAAGAAGTACTTTCCGGGTGTTGTTTTTGAGCATTGGCTGCCGTATTAGTTTGTGTGGCAATACTAGATTGTTGTCTAATGTTACGCGACTTTGTAGCAGTCGGTGGTGTCGGGGCGGGTGCTATAGCCGTCGGCAGTGTAGTAGTGACTAAGGATGTGGTAGCTGTACTGGTGGTGATGTTCGGTGCGCTACTAATATGAGTGGATACCGGAATCGGCTGTATGGTTGTGGTTAGATGAGTGGGTTGCGATTGATTCGGTGCAGTATTCATATGTATTGCCTGACTCGCCGACTGCATATTCATCGGCGGTGCCATCGATACAGTTTGAATGTGCGGACTGGATATGTTGGACGTCGATATGAACATATGTTCGCCGCCTTGTCCCGGTCCGCGAATAAATATGGGTCCATTGGGCGATGAAACCAGTGTCGACTGAGGACCGGTAGTCCACGTCAGACCAGGTTGTATGGTCTGAAACGAACCGCCGAATATCTGTTGATTGGTAATCAGTTGTCCCGACGGTGTCTGTGTGGCAATCAGTTGAGCAGTGTTGGCGTGATTTGTTGTGAAATTCTTGAACTGAGAACTGGCCAACAGTGGCGATGAGATCGATGTGGCCGGAAGTATCGGTGACGACTTCGGCTGTATGGCACCGCTGTTGGACAGCATCTGTGGTTTATTTTTTTTTTTGGAAAAAATTAATAAATATATTGATATTTTTTTTGGAAAGTTTACGGTTTTTTATATACAGTATAACATGCATTACACAAACAAATTACAGATTTATTTTTTAAATGAAACAAAATTATCAACAAAACAAAAAAAAACACACAAACCTTATTACTACCATAAAGACGAGCACTACCCGTACCCTACAATTCACACACGCGCGCGCACCACCATAACAACAACAAAAAACACGTGCAAACATAATCATTAATTAAATCAAATTAAAGCAATTGAATGAATGGACACATATTATACAAAAAGCAATATTAACTAAAAGTGTAAAACTTACGAATGGTTTTCCTTTGGGAATATCCATGCCTTTGGTGGCCGGAAGTATAGACTGCGGCATCGAATGGTGCTGATGATGATGACTCTGCGGCAACAGTTGACTGATGACCACTGTCTGGTTGGTCGCCGAATTGGACAAAAATTGTTGGCCCGGTATCATCTGTTTCAGTAACTGTGCATTTTGTGCGCCAATCGTATTCGGCTTGATCTGCGATAGCATCTGATGCGAGTTCGGCAGCGGCGATATGGCCACACCTTTCGACATGATTGGCTGTTTGGCCGCAATCGTTGTAATAGGCATACCGCCCGTATTCAGTGCGCCGGCACCCGTAAACGGTATCTGTAGGGATAGGCCCTGATTGGTTGTGCCGAACGGCAGATTCTGGATGGTCAGATTGCCCGGCAATAGCATCTGTTGCGGATAGACCTGCTGAAACTGAAAGGGTCCGCCAGCGGCACCCAACGGCTGCTGAATCATCTGGACTTGCGGTAGGGATGACATGGCAACGCTCATCTGGTTGGCCGCCTGAGGCATCGACGTCTGAATTAGCGACTGCATAGTATTGGTTTGCGACTGCTGTGCCGCCATATGTACGGTCGGATGATGACTGGCCACCGATGTGATGGCAGTGCCAATCGATTGAGCAATAAGACCGTGGTTTGTGTTCAAGTGATTTGTCTGCGACGTCGGGATCAGCTGTTGCTGCTGTTGTTGTTGCGATGAAGTGACAATCTGTTGCTGATTGGCGGCCGCAACGACAGCCGTATTGTTGACCATTGTCTGAACCATAGTGGGCTGTTGTTGTTGTTGTACTTGACTGGTCACTGTTGAGGCCGTCAATGTCGACGGCATAGCGGCCGCCGAACTCATTACGACTGCAGTCGGCGTTACCGTTGCATTGACCGTCACTATCGATGATTGACCACTCATTGGCAATACATTTGTTGTCGAATTGTTGAT